TTTACCACTACATGAAGGGACCTAGCTAAGAAAACATCTACACAAGGAGGATTCAAGTAGCATTTTTACAAACTTAGCCTTTCTCTAATCAAAACTCCATATTGCTTTCCACAATGGCTGCATTAATCTGCATACCCACCAACAGTGCATGAGGTTCCCTTTTCTCTACATCCTTGCCACCACTTGTTGTTTGTTGATTTATTGACTATATCCATTCTGATGGGTGCAAAGTGATATCTCATTTTCGGTTTTATTTGCATTTCTCTGATCATAAGTAATGTTGAGCATCTTCTCATGTCTTTTGGCTGTCCGTATGTCCTCATTGAAGAAGTGTCTATTCTAGTCCTCTACCCATTTTTTTCCATTGGGTTGTGTGGGTTTTTCTGGTGTTGAGTTGTGAGTTCTTTATAAATTTTGGATATTAACCTTTTATTAGATGTGTTATTGGTGAAAATCTCTGGGAAGTCTATTTCTCTAAGATAAATTCTTCTAGAATACCAAATTACATTTAGAAAATCACCGACTTAGTGAAATTAAAATAAATCCTACAGTCATAGATAGCTTTTTCCCCTAGTACTTTACATTCATTTTTCCACTTATCTAACTGTATTAGAGATGTCTTTTATGTATTGGTTTAGAGTTCTTGAAGTCACATCTATAATTCTACCCTAATGCTAGGCCAGGACCATCAGAAACCACGGAGTAAAGCTCCATAATTTACTTCCATTGGAATCATCTGGAGGATGTGTCAAAATGCAGATTCCTGGACCCCACCCCAAACATATGGAATTAGCAAGATATTTGTAAAGAGACATGATATTTGTATCAGCTCGATAGGGCCTTCGAACTATATCAGGGAAATAATGAATCTAAAGGTATACATAACTACCTAAGAGCTATGGGCTGATACACCTTCTCTTACTCACATTATTATTTGGAAACTACTACCTTAAAATTGGTTGAACAAAGCGGGAAGTGTCACCCTGGCTAAACCTCCATCTTATAACAGGAAGAGCTTATGACTATTTTATCCTAAAATACTGTGGCAGTGCATATCTCAAGCATTTTCACTGAATTGATAGAGAAAGTGGGGGATTTTAAAACTAAAAGACTTTAGAAGTTATACCTTCAACAAAATAAGCTGAGAAAAAAATATATCAAAGATATGTTAAAAACACACAGGCCTGTACAATCACATGTGTTATTCCCCTCATTTAAAGAAAACTAAAAGGTCTAATAATTAAAACCTCAAATCTTTATTTCATTTTCATGATAAAAACATTTATCACATTTTTAATGAAAAGGTTTTTATTTTAAGGAGTCATTTTAAATATATGAAATATAAAATTATTTTAGCTTTACAAGTAATGTACTTCTGATCAATAAATGAAGATGTATACATCTGTAAGTAGAAATACAGTAATACATTTTTAAACAATATCAAAATATAATTTACAATTTCACATATTGCTTAATAGATTTCTAAAATTTAATCTCAAAATACATTTTAAAGTATATGCTATGAATTTTATGACAAAGGAAAACTTTCTTTTTAAAAAAAAAAATGGAATATTTAACCTGTATATAGCCAATACCTTTGCATGGCACAAACCATTCAAAATATTGTTTACGTAAACCGTCTTTCAGAATTTTTTAATTTATTTTTCTATTACAACCTCAAAAAATATTTATAGCTGTGTTTGAGTCTTACAGAGACTTAATATCTCCAATTAAAATAAAGATGTCATCTCCAGTTTTGATCTTCCTAATCAATAATAACCATAAGTCATTTCTTAGAACTAGGTCTTCAAGTAATAGGTAGGGACAGGCTGTGTCATTTGTATGCTTCGCAATCTTAGAAACATTTTATAACCATGATATGTGTAAGGACTTGTAATTACTCTGACACCTCTTTTAGTTTAATTTAGTTTTAGTCAAGAAGATAATAAATGTTACACAGAGCACTAATACTTGGGACTAGGAGTTAATACCACCTCCTCCCTCTTTATTCACTCATAGCTTCTAACCTATTACTTCCACCAGAATAATAGTAATGCTATTGGTACCCATATGTTTTTAGATGTATTAGAAAGTAAGAGGGTCAATATATGATCAATCTTTTACATCTTTTTTGGATAACTGTGTTTGATTAAGAAGAACCACCATTTTGAAAACACCATTTGCAGATGAAATTCATTTTGCTACTTTGCTAGATAGGCAGCGATAACTGACCTACCAGGAAGGCTCTCAATAGACTTGATGAAGGTCTGTAACACGAACTTGGCCCTAAATAAAGCATGCTTTACTTGAAAAATATCTATTTGTTAAAGTTACAGGAAAAATATTGTGATTTAAAAAACCATTTGGAAAAATTAAGTTATCTCTATTTACTCAGCTCTATTTAGTCAGTAATATTATACTATTGGATATAGTAGAACCAAACAGACTATATATAGCAACCCCAAGGAGCTAACTGATTACTGCTTTTTTAATTGAATCCTTAAAGAGTTGTACAACATATCATTATATTTTTGAAACATCACAAAAACTCAAAATGCACCTATTTGTAACCATCAGATTGTGTACATTTTATGAGGACCAAGCTATAATCAAGGCCCACTGACCCTGATACCAATCATCATCTACATGCTCTGCCACAGAGAGGACAGACAGTGTGCTCTCTGTGTCCACGGACAGATGCCGTTTTGAAGGGAAGGAAATCGAGAATAAAATAATCATTCTCCACTGGGCCGGCCGGGGCGACTATAAAACAAGAGAAAACGACAAAAGCCTTTTGAAAACATTTAGTGTTGCCAATGAAATGGCACGTTTTTAAAACTATATGAATTGTCTTATTGTCGCAGCAGATGGGGAGCCCACACTATTAGACTGTGACAAATAAAGGGAGAGTGTGCTCCTTTTGTGCACTGAGAGTCACCAAAAGTCATAAAGTTGACAAATAGATATATTTTCAGGTAAGAGAACAAGATAAAGAAAATCACCTTACTATCAGTTTAGCAATAGAAGTAAGAGATAAAGACATTTGAAGGAAAAAAAATCTGTTAGTATTACAGCACCTGTGCTCAGCCTTCTGAAGCCCTTAAGACTGATAACTGCCCACTTAATGCTGACAATTACAGTTACCGCTGTACATGGGCATCAGCACCGCACACACCAAAGTCAAGGAGAGATCATGGTGAGCACACTCACTGTGTGAATTAGAGATTCCACAAACCACAGGGAATCAGCACCAAGTGTTGATCTTTATGCATGCCCAAAAAGGAAGAAGAAACTGAGATCTGCCAAAAATAAACAATGACTCACCATTTCAAATCTAACTTCTAGTACCAAGAAATTCATTTTGTTGTCCAAACTGTTGTCGTATGGGCCTTCTAAGTCATCCAATAACCTTCCCGTCCCTAAACAATATTAATTCTTTTTAGTGTGTGGCTTTCTAAGAGAGGAGGTATTAAAATTAATAGGCATTTGGGGACCTCTATTTAAAAAATAAAATAAAATAAAACAAGTAGCAACAAATTACAGCCTAAGCTGGATCCTGTTTTCAAATGACGGGCAAGAGCAACATTCTATAATTACTTTTTGCTACACATTAATGACTAAAACAGCGTCTGTGCAGGTTTTGGATTCATGAGACAGAATATCAGCTATACATAGCATTAAACTTGTGTGACAGGGGAGTGGATGACAGTGAAAGTTAAGTTGCGCCAGAGAACAAGACTTATTAAAACATGAGTCCAGCATAGAAGCGAGCTACTTCTGAGTTCCTGGAATACACCCCTCACAGGCTCTAATTTCTGATTACCATGACAGCACACAGCATTCTCCATCTAACACTTCAGAAAAATGCCTGGTCACACCAGGCACTGCCTTGTTACATGACTTCTGTTGAAACCATTCTTTTCCACTTCTCTTACTTCTGTAAAATGTCAAATAAAAGTGACAAGACAATCATTTGCCCTCCATTTTCTCAATAATGGAAGGTTTTAGAGGGGGTCTGTTAGAACGCCAAGATAATAGGCTAATAATATTTTCTCAATACTGCCTTCCTCCTGTATTTCCACTTGAGGGAAATCTATTTCTGACAGTATCTACTCTAAAGTTTAGAGGCTTTAAAAGTGTTGCCCTCGCACCCAAAAAGTGCTTCAAACATACTTATTTTCTGAGTAAATATCTTTTGAAAGAAAAGTTCTACTTTTCCCTGGAGTGCTTATAAAGGTTAACATAAAAAGTAGGTATAGATAGAAAAAGAAATAATGCTTTAAGAAATGTTTTACAAATATCAAGTACAAGTAATATCTACCCTATCTGCCTTTTTCACCTTACCTCCACACATGCAAACAATTACACAGCACAGTACATTTCAACAACAGGTTTTAAGAAGCAGTTGACAAGGAAGTAAAATATCAAAGTCAATCAATTCTTGTTTTACAGAGAGAAAGTAAACCATAGACATCAACAGGCTGTAGGAATCTTCCTTTACTCGGTGGATTAAAAATTAAAACAATGTTTGTAGACCCCTGAAAGGTATAATTCACATTTCATTTCCTGAACATATCCTGTTCAAGCCAGTATAACAAAATGAAGATGCAATGAAGCAAATTATACTCCAGTCTTAATTTTCACTGTATTACAATTTTGCAAAAGAACTACAAAACTCTCGGAATCAACCTTACATGTAGAAAACAAAACATGGGTATTAATGGGAATCAATACCAGCTATCTGCAAATACTCCCTAAAACTTACTTTAAAAAATAACATTTGAATGAATATTAAAATTCATCAAATTTTAGGTAATTTATCTTAAGCATACTATACATTCAACTGCATTAAAAAGTACCCAGAAATCAAAACTATTATTTCAAATAATGTATTCCATACACATAAAACCAAACCAGAGTCCATAACAGTGACTAAAAGCAAATCTTACAGGTTTTTTTTTTCAAAGAAACAATGGTTCATTTTTCTAGTGATGGGCCGTCCGCATCATGAGCATCCTCGTCTGGCATCACCGATGGCTCCCCAGGCATCAAAGACAAATTCATCTGGGAATGCAAAGTCTCCCAGAGTTTGGTCAAGCGCCACAGCAAATTCATCCGGATTGCGTTTGTCCTTTCCAGCTTCAAATATTGTGGAAGCTATCAGAAATAATTTTTAAAAATTATTGATACATAAGACAGCATTAGAGGACTGAGAAAAATAGCACCATAAAAAAAAATTACTTTCTAAAAGTCACAGATACAGATATCACAGATTTCTAGTACCAATTTAAACAATAAGATACTCTCCATCATATATCAAGGTAGCAAAGATCTTTTTAAACAATCTGTCCACTGGCCCCAGGTTTGCAGCTGCCACCCCTGCCATCTCCTCCACTGGCCCTTGGAGCCTTTCCATGGAGCAAAACCCCTGAAAGATAACCCTATGACGAACCCAGCCAGGGAACAGAGTGCATACTTTCTTCCGCCTTCTCACAGTCACTAGCTCTCTCTGCCCCCTCTACCAGTACCCACCCTCAACTATGATGGTGCCCAGTCCTCCCTCCCCAAAGGAAAAAAGGCAAAGGATAACAGTTTTCAATGGGTTAATCAAGCCAGGGAGAAGGGTAGGAAGATATCTTTCTATTTATGGAAACAAGGTAATATTTTCTGAGCCCCTTTCCAGTTTGGGATAGAAAATGAAGATGGTGCCCTTGTTCTGTTTTTCTAGTAAGTTGCCTGGATCCTATATTTTACATCTGAGGAACCAGCATGTCCAGGAACACACATTCCCATGGGAGCTGACTCCACTGGCTGGGAGCCCATGAGGCTCAGCCAGGGTTTTTCTCAGCCCCCTAAAAGCGCTAGCAACCAGAAAAGAGACAGCGTGGATGTGACTTGGGACTTGGGTGAAGAAGCTCCATGTAAAAGGGAAACACCAAACCCCAGCCTCTTCTTTCCTCCTAGGTTAAGGTTGAACAAATCAGAGGTTGTATGATTTCTCTGAGTGAGCCAAGAGATCTGGTCTTTCAGCTAAGAGCCCACCGTGGCTCTTAGGAGCATTTATGAACTGTTCTTTAACACACATGGGCTATGGGGAAGGGGCAATTCCCATAGAAGGGCACCACAGTCAGAGCGGAAAAGTAGGATGTAGATGGGGTGACCTGGTGCAGGGATCAAAGCCTAGTAAGGTAAGGAAGGCTTCCACATGGCTGGACAGCCCCAGTGGAAAATCCAGATGTGGTAAGGCCAGCACTGGATTTGAGGTGGGGGGGCCGGGGTGGGGATGGACTGCAGCCATACTAATGAGACTGGGTGCATACATGGGGACTGATGACACAAATACACATACACACAAACACAAACACACGTGAAATAATGAAAACCAGGTTTGTCACTGTCAGAGAAAAATAAATAGGAAAAAGTAAAAAACCAGAATGAAATTGGAATAATATAAGTAATTATATATATAAAAATATATATTATATATAATGGAATTGGAATGATATACAATTTTATATATTATATATAATAAATAATATACATTATATTATATATAATTTAAATAGATATATTTCAATAAAGAAATAAAAAATATAGAGGTAATTACATGTACACACATTCCTCAACCCACCCGGGAGCAGGCAAAGTACAATATGAACCAAGAATATATTCTGCCATCAAGTAAGAAAGTGTCAAAATGGTTGGAACATGTGAAAAAGGCACAAAAGTTAGAGTGAAGAGCTCCCACTGACCCAATCAGGGACAACTTAAGCATCAGAATTAGTGTAGTAATAAATTATAATTCCATTGAACAAAACAGGAAACAATGAATCTAAAATGAAATTTCAATTGACTGACAGATGGAAGTAAGGAAAAGGGTTCATTCATGAAGAAGAGGATATTTACATAGTTTCAAAACATCTCCACCAAATACTTGTTAATTACAAAGAAAATAACTTTACAGTAGAGCTTCACATACACCAACTTAAAAAAAGTCATCAACATGAGCAATATCAATAACAGAATAAATCAAAATTCTGTGCCTCCTGATAAGATGTAATGAAAAGATTATGCATCACATTTGTGATGTTTCTGCCAAAGAGATGTAATCTGAATAAACAGTGAAAAAAATAGACAAACCAAAATTAAGGAACATTCTATAAAATAACTGGCTTGTACCCTCCAAAACCATAAAAATCATGAAAATCAAGAGTTAGAAACTATTCCAAATCAGGTCAAAGTAGCACGTGATTTTGAGTATGCCCTTTTGCTATAATGGATATTAAGACATTTGGTGAAATATAAATAGTATATGAACATTAGATGGTAGTAATGCATCAATACTAACTTCATGATGTGAATATTGTGGTTAGATAAGAGAATAACTTTTGGTTTTTTAATTACTTTTAAATTCATCTTTAATTATAGTTGACATACAATATTGTATTAGTTTCATATGTACAACATAGTGAATCAACATTTATATACTTTACAAAGTGATTGCCACAATGTCTAGTAACCATCTGTCATCATACATAGTTATTATATTATTGGCTCTTTTCCCTCTGCTGTACATTACATTTTCATGACTTATTTTGTAACTGAGAGTTTCTGCTTCTTAATCCCCTTCCCCTTTGTATAGGAAATATGCACTAAAATATTTGGAGAGATGGGATATCATTAAAGTAATAAATTCTGAAATGGTTCAAGAGAAAAGAGTTTTTGTACTGTATTTGTAACTTTCCTGTAAGTTTGAGATTGCTTCAAAAAAATTTTTTGAAAACACAAAATGTGAGGAGAAATCGAATCTTTCCTCTTCATCACCATCGCCCTTTCTCCCACCACACCCCAAGCCTCAGCCATGACCCAAACATTTTTCATTTATCATTAACCCAAAGGCTAACACTTCATAAAGGGGGAAGTCCTCAGCTTCATCTGGACCTTCTGCTGCAGCCCAGGGGCCCTGCCATGTTTATTAAAACTTTTATAAACTATTTTAAATGATATACCAAGGCCGGCCTGAATAGAGTGAAGCAAACACTCAGATACACTGGTTTGACTTTTGTAAGTTTGGCTTTTGAAAAACAATTTGGCAACATGTATCAAAATTCTTTAAAATATTCATATCATTTGATCTACTAACATTTCCACTTCTGGGAATCCATATTTTTTTCTTCCAACTTTATTGAGATATAACTGACATACATCACTCTGTAAGTTTAAGGCGTATAGTACAATGATTTGACACATATACACAGGGTGGGCTGAAGTAGGCTTACAGTTGTGAATATGTGAAACATAGTGTTTATTCTTATATTATTACTTATTAATTATTGTATTATTTGTATTACAACTGAAAACTTACTTTTGCCCACCCCAGTGTATGTGATGAAATGAATACCACAAAAAGTTTAGTTAATACCCATCGTCTCATATAGATAAAAAAAATGAAAAAGAAAAAGTATTTTTTCCTTGTGATGAGAACTTTTAGGATTTACTCTCTGAACAACTTTCTATATATATATATATATATGTTGATATATCACACAGTAGAGGTAATTATAATCATCACGTTGAACAATACATCCCTAATGTTTACTTATAATGAAGTTTATATCTTTTGAACACCTTCATTCAATTTTCCCTCCATCCAATTGTGCTGACCACAAATCCCATCTTTTTTTTCCTTTTTATGAGTTTGGGTTTGGGGTTGTTTTTTAACTAGAGCCCAAATGTAAGTGAGATTCTATAGCATTTGTCTCTCCCTGTCTCCTCATTTCACTTAGCATAATGCCCTCAAGGTTCCTCCATATTGTCACAACTGATAGGATCTCCTTCTTTTTGACAACTGAATATTCCAGTACACACACACACACACACACACACACACACACCCCACAACTTCTTTACCCATTCATCTGTCATAGGCACTTAGGCTGCTTCTGTCTTGGCTCTTGTGAATAGTGTGCAACTGACATGGGGGTGCATATGTTTCTGAGACATAGTGTTTTTATTTCCCTCAGATATAAGAAAATCTGTACTTTTCAAAAAATCTTAAAAACAGAAAAGAATTTACCATAAAAATGGGCCTAACAGTATTTTAAAAAAAAACCTAAGATGTTGGATCATTAAGTTACCTCGAGTATGATGAAATATTTGATGATATAGTTTGAAATCATTGAAAACAACATTTATGAATAACTTTGAAATAACTTGAGGAAATCTTTTTGTTTTAATATTTATTGAAAAAGCAATGCATAGGTTTTATATTACAATCACAACTACGTTTTTATAAACATCTCTACATAGGATGGATAAATGGAGAAGTACATGATAAAGCAATTATAATAAAATATTAATGGTAGAATCTAGGTGGTAAGTGTAAAAGTACGTACTAAAAAGTCTTTCAACTGTACTGTGTGTTTGAAAATTTCAATTATAAAATCTAGTGTTAGGGAGAGGAACCTTTACACAGACAATGGAAGAAAACTTAAAATGTAGTAGATACACTCAAATTAAAGAGGAAGTTTGTTGTTGTTTTAAGTTAGGGCCTGTTTGATGCCATAAAACTATGGGTGACTTGTAAAATTACTCTGTATGCTCATGATTACTAACTGTATTTTGGAAATTATTTCCTAAGTCATCAAGAAATACGGCAGCCCTGACCAGCATGGCTCGGTTGGGCATCATTCCACACAGCAAAATGTTGCCAGTTCAGTTCTCAGTTGGGGCACATGCCTAGGTCGTGGGTTTGGTCCCCAGTTGGGGCATGTGTGGGAAGCAACTGATCTGTTTCTCTCTCACATCGATGTTTCTCTCCCTCTCTTTCTCACCCCATTCCCCTCTCTCTAAAAATAAATAAAGCCTTAAAAAAACTACAGTAATATATATAAAAAATGTTTCAGCTCTTTCGACAAAGTATTATAGTCAAGAAAGAAGGAAAGCTGCCCTCAGTGAGATAAGAAGCCAAGTGCTCAGGAAAGCATTACTCTGTTGATCTTCCCCATAAACCTGGAGGTTCTGTCTGTGTCCCTCCTCTCCTTAGGCCATCTTGCCTCAGAGGTCTTAGCCACAACCCAACTTAACCATGACCTTGCTGCAGAGAAGTCCCAAACCTTTGCTTCCACCTCTGACTTCTCTCATGAGTTCCAAATATC